GGTTGTTCCATATCTTGGCTGTTGTGAACAGTGTCACTTTAGACACAGAAATGCAGGTGTCTCTTGGCATGCCAGCCTGGGTTCCTTTGTTGTGACACCAAGAAATAATATAGTTGGATTGTATATGGTAGTTTAATTTTCAGATTTTTGAGGAACCCAAGAATACTGATCCCTATAATGACTGACTAACTTGCATTATCACCAGCAATGTCTAAGGATTCCACTTCTGCCCTCTCATGGTCCATATTTATTGTTGTTTTTTTCTTTATGGTAAATGCTGATTAGACCCTCACCGAAAATGTTGCAGTAAAACCGCAACAGTAAACCTTTTTTTTTTTTTTAATTTGCAAACATTGAAGGCTGGGCGGGCTGTGGGCAGCTTTATCTTGCCATCACCAGTCTTTGTATACATTAAATTATATTTACAAAACATAAGTGCACCTGCTTTGCCTCTTGCCAATCAATTTTTATTGATGGCAATTATTGCAGCTACAACATTTTTAAGAAAGACATCCAGGTGTTTTAGAAGCTCCTAGAATGTCCATCAGGATTTCCCAACATCTTCTGATCAGTCCCATGTGAACTCTTTCTGTGATAAGGACCACCAGGGCATTTGAGGAAAGGCTGGTCATGGTGACTGAGGCACACGGTAGGTACCTCAGGAACACTGGGAGGTATGCTGGCTCACTGCTTGCAACTCAGCATCCTCAGCTTCTTCAGTGGTCAGATTGACTTGGAAAGGGGCGTGTGCCCTTGTTTTTCAGGATGTTTAAGTCCTCAGAATAGCACCGGCCAGGAGAGCTGGTGCACCTATTTCAACATGGAAAAGTCTGAAAATCTTAGGAGTAAATATGTGGTGTAAGCCCACCGGTCCAGGTGAGGGGACACAAAGGTACACACCAGGCAGTTTCCCCCTTCACTTCTGAATGGAGTGTGAAATACCAGAGACAGGGAACATGGTCGCACAAAGGGATGGTTTTCCTCTGAATAGAGTAGGCTACAGAAGATGGCAATATTTTCCCTAAAATAGATGACCAGCCCACAATAAGAAAGTGAGTAGATTGTTTTATAGATCTTGGAGAATAGAGAATTTTGCAAAGGATTTACTGGCATCCCACACTAACTCCTCAGGTTCATTTACCCTTAATTAGAGTTCTTTGCACCCTTGTGTACAAACAGATTGAGAATCATCCATGCAAAAAGGACCATCTTAGAAAAAGGCAATGCATCAAAATGAGCTTGATTACTGAATACATCATTTTTCTCTTTTTAACTCTGACTTATTGAAAACTAGCAGGCAGTCTTAAAATTTTAGCCATGTTGGAGTACATTTATCTCAGTTTCAGGGTGCTTGGCATATCTTGGCATGTAATTTTGCTTTCACGAAGTATGAGTTATAGCTGTTCCATTCAGAGTGTCCAGAATCCTGAGGAACTATTAATTAGGATGTGAAGAGTCAGTCAAAACTAGAGCTTCTTTTATGTCCTGAAAACTGGTGCCAGGGCTAGAGACATGGCCCAGTGGGTAAAGGCTTTTACCATATGTGCGTGAGGATCTGGGTTTGAATCCCCCAAAGCCATGTGAAAGCTGGATGTGTATTGTAATGAAGCCATTTAAAATCTGTCCAGACAGTGATGAATTTTAAAAGTGACCTAGCATGAGCTTCTCAAAAAGCCAAGCAGAATGATGAGTCCACTGAGGTATGGAACCAGCCAGTTCTCACTGCCTACCACATGCGTGTTTCTTGTCTGGGGATTTGGTTGGTGGACTGGGACCTGCTTGCTGCCCATGTGTGTGCTGATGTTAACCACCATGTGTTTCATTAGAATACTTTTTTTTTTCTTTTTTCGAGACAGGGTTTCTCTGTGTAGCTTTGCGCCTTTCCTGGAACTCACTTGGTAGCCCAGGCTGGCCTCAACTCACAAAGATCCGCCTGCCTCTGCCTCCTGAGTGCTGGGATTAAAGGTATGCACCACCACCGCCTGGTTCATCAGAATACTTTTGCAGTTATTCCTCTAGGAATTTTAGGTAGTCACAGTATTCACAGCCTAGAGAAAAAGAAAAAAAGGCTTTATGCAAGGGACTTACTGCTAACTCTTTTTGTTGTTGTTGTTGTTTGTTTGTTTTGTTTTGTTTTTGAGACAGGGTTTCTCTGTGTAGCTTTGTGCCTTTCCTAGATCTCACTCTGTATACCAGGCTGGTCTCGAACTCACAAAGATCCGCCGGCCTCTGCCTCCCGAGTGCTGGGATTAAAGGTGTGCGCTACCACCGCTAACTTACTGCTAACTCTTACCAAGAAATGCACTGTGGGTCTGGGGAATACTGTTCAGTGGTGTAGTGCTTGCAAAGCATGCACAAGGCCCTGGGATTGATCTGTAGCACTAGAAAAGCAAGCAAGGAAGGAAGGGAAAGAGGGGGTAGAGGGAAAGAAGGAAATAAAAGAAAGATACTATGGCCCTTCACAATACACGTGAATATATGTATATAATACATATAACTATATATGTTAATGCACACCACAAATGTTTATAGAAATAAAGGTTTCATAAAATGGACTTACGTTTGTTTTTCCTTATTCCTTGAATTACAATCAAATATCATTTCTATCAAATTTTCTAAGATGCTATGGAGATTACTAAATTGATTTCATGGCTCATAGACTGAATACACTGACCTGAGCCGTCTGCCCGTGTCCACAGTGGATGACTACAGCGTCATTGTAAGCAGGGACAGATACTTAAAATGGTGCCATATTTTGACCTCCCAGTTAACGCAGAGAGTTATATGTCCTATGGTTCATTTGGTCAGGCCAATTTGCTACAGAATGACCTTTCCTGAAATTGCATTTGCTGAAGGCATGACTAATAGTCCTTTATTGTATTAAAGGCTCAACAAAAATCAGTTGTTAAATGGATGGACATGTTTTACTCTTTGACATTACATTATTTGAAATGTCAATAGCAATTTATCTTATGGTACCATAAATGAATGGATGCATTCTTTTAGGCTCTATCTGTAGGTGCTGGCTCTACACCCTGGTTTTATTGTTTGACATCTTTATATGTGTGTGTGTACACATACAAATATGTGTGTATACATACATACATATATATGTGTATGTAGTGATATGTAAGTAAAGCCTTTATGTCTTACTTTAAGTGGAATATATAGTAAGGCCCTTGTGTCTGGCCTTGAGAAAAATGTTTCAGCAAAGCCTTTGCTATGTTTGGGTTGATCAGTAAAGACTGAGTCATTGTTTTGAGCTGTTTGAACCTTGAAGAAATGTCGTCTCTCTGGAGAATCTGCACTTGGTGCTGGGTGAGAGCTTGCAGCTGCACCGACCTTGGTTCTAAGACACTCCTGGCAAACCTGGCTAAACACTCCTGACTAGCCATCATCAAAAGGGACTGAGATTTGTGTGGGTTGTCTACTCTCATGGGCAGCAAGAGCAGGAGAACTTCGCTAGTTGGAACCTTTCCCAACCTCTTTTAACCTTTTATGGATTTGAATAAAGTAACTGGAGTGAACTAGCTGGGTGTCAGTCTTTCCCAAGAAAGCTGAATCCTCTGCTCCTTTGGAAAATAAAGACTTAGCATCTTGATGTTCTTCTCTCTCTACTGCAGCACCTACAACTCAACATCAAACAATATGTATGTATATATACATATATATGTACACACACACATATATATGTATATGTATGTATGTGTGTATGTATGTATGTATGTATGTATTTGGTTTTTCAAGGCAGGGTTTCTCTGTGTAGCTTTGCAGCCTATCCTGGAACTCACTCTGTAGCCCAGGCTGGCCTCGAACTCACAGAGATCCGCCTGCCTCTGCCTCCCGAGTGTTGGGATTAAAGTCGTGCACCACCATCACCCAGCCTAAAACAATATATTTAAGATAACAATTTGAAGCAAATAAAAGTAATATTTTCTGAGGCAGTTTTTCCAAAATTTAAGCTCAAGATTTTTTTGAAATTACGATGAAATCTATGATTCACCTACCTACCAGACTAGACAAAATTTTAATTGTGCGACCTTTTACTTGAGAGTCTTTCACCTGAATAGTTTGGCCACTAGTCTTACCATATCTTCAAGTCAGCCAGCCCTTCTTATCAGGACCCTTTCCCGGGGGTTGGGGGTGGGGGTGGGTGGAGAAATGCCTTAGTGGTGAAGAATGCTTGCTACTCTTCTAGAGGATCCGAGTTCACTTGGACGCACCTACGTAGGTGGTTCACAACCACCTGATATATGTAACTCCAGTCCCAGGAGATCTGACACGTTTCTGGTCTCCAAGGGTACCCACACATATGTACAAACACACAAACACACACAAATAAATAAATATAGTAAAATCTTCCTTTTTAAGTCAGAGGAATGAACAAAAGATGATATTTGGTACATACGTGGTACAAACCCTTATGTTTATACTGATTCAGCTGTCCTATCTCCTGGACAATGGTGAGAACCAATCTGTCAGCAGCATGTCTGCCATCATATCACCCCATCGGGTTACAAGACCCCCTGCTGTGGGGTAGCAACAAGGGACTAAAGATGGAGGACAGCCCCCTAGAGATATTTACAACTGTGCCCAAAATTCCCAACAGTCGTATGGATGAGACATATCAGTGTTTCTCTTTGTTTAATGAGTCAAGGTACTTATTTAAAAAACACCAGAATGTTGTAACGTTTAATGAATATCATGTAGACGATCCAACACTGAGCATAATCCCCGTCTGAACTGCAAGTGAAGCTGTAAGCCTCATGAGTAGGGTGCCACTGCCACCTGCTGCCCACATAGCTTAATTGCAGTTTCAAGTTTGGGTGAGGCAGTCATGGATTGGCCATGAACGCATATTATAAAATGATAGAAAGTGCACATTGTTTGCTATGTCAGGGGTGGGAGAGAATACATATTGTTAGAGTCTGCTTTGGATTGGCCCTTCCTACCTCATGGTAGCTGTCCCAGCCTCACGTGTTCTCTGCACTTCTTGGCAGGATTGGAGGCGCCATCCCTACCGTGTTCTCCTACTTTGCTGAAGTCCTAGCCCGGGAGAAGCGGGGTGAGCACCTCAGTTGGCTCTGCATGTTCTGGATGATTGGTGGAATCTACGCTTCGGCCATGGCCTGGGCCATCATCCCGCACTACGGTAAGGGGCTGGCCATGTCTCAACTTCCCTCTCCGTCTGCTTCCTCTCTGTCCCGAGCTCTGGCTTGGGGACAGTACTGTCCGCGTCAGGTGTCTGCCATTCATACTGCTCAGGAGGTGTTTCTTTCCATGGAAAGGTCTACACAAAGTAAGACTGTGTCAAACGGTCCTTTGGGCGTATGGATAAAACAGGCCAGAGTCCTGTTCTACTCTTGCACAGCGCTTCTGGTCACCTCGGCCACCATTTTCCCCATAGCTGCAGCTCCTTCAGTCTAACACATCTCTGACATTGACCTGGGTTCAGAGTCAAGTCCCATAGGTTGAGGACTCAATCCTGCATGACTGACACATTTCTGATGCTTCAGATGCCAGCTGCAAGTCCAGGCCTCCTCTGACTGGCCAGCTAGAAATTCGACCTTTCCCCAACCCGCCTCCTCATGATCAGTTGGTTTCTGTGATGGTTCACAGATCTCAGGGAAATGCCTACCTTGAATTTCCCAGTTTATTATCAAGGATGTTACAGAGGACACAGGTGAGCTGCCAGATGAAGACGTGGAGAGGGTGAAGGGCCTCCATGCCTTCTCCAAGTTCACCTTTCTCCCTGCACTTCATGAGCTCAGCAGCGTGAAGCTTCCAAATCTCATAATTCATGGGCATGGTCAGTTACTAACCCAGTCTTTAGCCAAAGGACACATAATTGTGGTATGTCTTTCTGGTGACCCGCTCCACCACCCAGGAACCCATCAAAACTAGCCTCATCTAAACAAAGACATCCCCATCACCTAGACAGTTCCAGAGAATGAGGAGCTCTGTGCCGTGAGCCGAGAATGAAGTCCCACCCGCTAGTTCTCCTTCCTCTTCCTTGTACATTGAGTTGGCTTCTGTTGACCCCTGTACTTCACTCTTTGTAGATGAAGCAACTTGAAACTTGCGTTTTCTGAGACTGACAGAGTTGCTCAGAATGCGGCTCTTGACTGCTCAGCGAAGCAGGAAGGGCGGTTGCTGAGGAGAAACTGATGAGAGGATCTGGGGAGTGCGGACAGGCAGTGTCACCACTCCCGTGTTGCACACCTTGGTCTCTGAGGCAGCACTCTTGCTCCGTCCTGGCGGAGCTGTCTGAAGACACACAGGGGCTGACACAGAACCGGCACCTGTGTGTGTCTGAAATGTACGGCAGCCTCAAGAGAGATGGGAAGTCACATCTCTATCAACGCCGCTGGTGGTTGGTGTGGTCACTCCGGATAATGCCCTGTGGAGGGTCTGTGTCCCTCCTGGATACTGTGGGAGTCTGATTCCAACCCTATACCAGGCTTGATAGCTGTAGCAAATAAATGAAAGCAACAACTTCACATGAGCAAAATGTTGAAGTTGACTCTAATATTGTGATTCCTGGTAGCAAATACGGGTGGGACCTTAAAAAGTAAGGTATCCTCTGGGTGGGCAAAATTATACCCCATTCATCATTTTTACACGGCTTTCAGGGAGATAGCTCTTTCTCTGTCTTTCTGTCTCTAGCTCTCTATCTCTGTCCCTCACTCGCTCTCCTCTTTCTCTCTTTCCTTCCCTCCCTCCCCTCTGCCCCCACTTAGCCCTCTCTAAACCATCTTTATCCTTTGTCCCATCCTCTCGTGGCATCTCCACATCTTGGCTGTAGCCAAACCTCTCTGGAGCTCCTTGACTCCTAGGACTGAGTACAGGTCCCATCCTGGCCTCCCCTCCCATCGTGTCACTCAGAGTCCCTTCTGCTGGCCTCGCAGTATATATATAGTAGCTTCTGCATACTGCTCATGTGATCACTTTTATTTTGCTTTCCCTGCTAGGGATTCAGCTCTTCTGACACCCGCCCCCCAACACACACCTACACACACACTTCCCTGTCTTGCAACTGGGCGTGGCCTGAGAACTCTTTTGTTTGCCAGCCACAAGTGGCTAATATGCAGGAATTGTTGTATGTAAGCGCTTTCATTTTAATATCAAAAAGAGTGAACTGATTCATCTATGATTAACCCATCTATCAAAACCAATCCATCTCTAACTAATCCATCCCTAACTGGAGTGGTAGGTGGTCACAAACCACAAAGCTACATGTGAAAAGTGAGAATTTGACAAAATGAAATGTCTGGGGCTGACTTTAGTTTTGATATGGGTGGAACCTTCAGAAATAATGACCTGGATAGTGAACCAGTCCCAGAATATTAAAATCTTAGGGTCATATTTTCATGGTCTTTCCATAAGTGTAGAACCAAAAACAAATTCTCTTAATCAGTCCTGTGTGTGGATTAGAACCAGCGGGGAGTTCTTTGTGGAACACCCTTGTGCTCTTGAAGTTGAAGAGTCTTGTTTGCCTTTTAAAATTCAAAAGCTCCTATGTTGACATATCTCTACAAGTGAGGTGGCTGTCCTATGGGTAGGTTTTTTCAGGTACATTCACTCACAGAATCCCTCAGCCAGATGTTTAAGAATTGTGTACATCATTCTGTGGAAATTGCACTTTCTTGTTAATGTTTTCAGTAAGTTTTCTACTTCCTACAATCAAATCAGATCCTCTAGGCTAAGGACTCCGTGCTGTTTTTATTCTTATTCTTTTTAGCATAAAGTAAGTATGGCTGACAAATACAAGTCATATGCAGTTAATGTTCACAACCTAACTTTGCACACATGCAAGATGGCCCAGCCAGTAAAAAGCTCTTGTCATGACCTGAGTTAGACCCCTGGAACCCACATGGTGGAAGGACAGAACTGACTCCACAAAGCTGTTCTCTGAACTCAACATGAACACCAAGGTGCACACACATGTACACACACACACACACACACACACACACACACACACACACACCATAAAATAAATTAATAAATGCACAAGTACTCTTAAAGAAAATAGAACATTAAATATTTAGGGAGAAGCTTTATATTTCACTGGAAATTCTGTTTGGTATGAATGGTCAGAAGCCCGTAGAAATAGGAACAGGTCATTTGCCCCTCCTCGCTACTCCATGCTCTCTCACCGATGAGGTATTTGAGGACCGCTATCCTTGCAGGGCTGTGTATGGAGGCATTTGAGAGCGCAGTGCAGTGGCTTGATGTTAGGTGTTGATTTTCTCAAACGAACAACAAGGTTTGGTCTGGAGGGGAAGTGTGGATAATCGACATCCACATTGCAAATGCATTTCAGGTGATGAGTGCACACATTTGGGTGGCTCCTGTGCACAAGGCTCTCTTGACTGCCCTGAATCCAGGTGCTTCTTTCCTGCCCACAGGCACCCATCAATAGGGAGCCTGAGCCTGATGTCACTGAGATGCAGTGGCTCCACACAAGCCTCCGAGGCAAAGCAGATCTTAAGTTTGGCCCAAGGATTCTGAAAGGATTCTTGAGCAGTTAGATACACCACCAGGGGGTTTTGATGGCTTCATGGCCTGCTGAGTTAAGACATGCCCTGCTAATGCTAGGAGCTGATGCTAGATAATGGGATCGGCCTAGTTTTTGTACCAGCATCAGATGATGATGGCACTTTCCCTCACATCATCAGTATTTGGTAAAGTTGAAGTTTTTGTACCAGCATCAGATGATGATGGCACTTTCCCTCACATCATCAGTATTTGGTAAAGTTGAAGCTTTACTCAGAGGCAGGTCATTACTAATACCTGAAGGTTTCCAGCATAAAATCACTCACCTATAATCCTAACACTAAGCAGGGCTGAGACAGAAGGATTGTCATAAGTTCAAAGCCCTCTGGGCTATATAGTACATTTCAGCACAGGTTGGGCTACACAATGAAGCCCTGCCTAGATCTCCATCTCCCCCCCCCCCTTCCCCTGACCCTGCCCCACCAGCTAACTGGGTCTTAAGAAGCATCAGGCTTTGCTGTCATGTTTCAGACATCCCCCTTACTCACCACCTGCACTCAGGAGCTTCTGGGCTGTCCTCTTCACTCCCAGTGACTGAAACATTTCCAGTAGAATGAGGGATGGGAGGAGACAGTAAAGCCAGGGAAAATGTCCTGGCCTCAAACACTAGGTCCCCATAACAGCTGCGACTAGGTGTGGGGGTGTGTGGCTATCCTAGGCACCCATTCTCAAACCCAGGTTTCTGATCCCAGTGGAAACTCGGCTACCAGCACATAAAGGAACAGGCCAGGTTTTCCTGTTTCAGAAGTGGTTATTACCATAATTGCATATATCCATGGACTATAATATTTATGTTGATATTATTCATAATGATTATATCACTGCTTTCTTCCTATCATAAGAATTCTGAGACTCAAACTCCAGGGTCCACAGCAAGCACCTTTACCCACTAAACCATCCCACCAGCCCCAGGTTGATTCTTTATTAGCACCTATGAACTACACAGAGACAAACAGAAATTTGCAAGTGGTTCTCTGTTATGCTGATATCATTTCCTTGAATGTAAACCCAGAAGATTCTGGATCCTGTGTGCACCTAGTTTTACATTCTCGAGGCACATTTTTTTTTAATATTTTTGAGATTTATTTATTTATTTATTCATTCATTCATTCATTCATTCATTTATTGTTGCATATGTGTGCATGTGCACACATACAGTACAGCACACATGTGAAGGATAGATGATAACTGACAGGAGTCCTTTGTCTATGTCCACCATGTGGGTCATGGAGATGGAAATCAGGTCAACACGCTTGGTGGAAGGCATCTTTACCAACCGAGCCAACACGAAAGCTCTTGAGGCATCTCTCCACTGTTGTCTGCCCGAGTCTAACAACAGTGTTCAAGAGCTTCCTTTTTCTCTCCATCCTCAGTGGCATTTATGGTTTGTTCCAGGACAGCTGTTCTGACTGAGGCGATGGTCTCCCTCTGAGTGTGGGTGGAAACAAGCAGTGTTTTCAGAAGCAGACACGGCTCAGATGGAAAAGTCCTCCCCACCCTCCCCTTCCTCCCCCTCGGCACACTCTCCGGTAATGAGAACACATCAGCATTTAATGGAAGCACAATTACCTTCAGCAGAAAATGGGAACGGGG